TATACTACCTAAAGAAAATAATATTTTTTTTCTTCGACTTTAAAAATTTCAATCAAAAGAAATAAAAACACACACAAGAAACGAAAACAAACAGTTATTTACATATTTACATCCCCACCCCTCACTTTAAATTGCGGCATGTCCCCATGGCACACAAATAAAATGCAAGAGGTAAAAAAAACTCCCTTGAACTTTTTCCGTTTTCGAGAACTTGTAAATTCCACCCCTAATTCTGAATTCATTCTTCGTTTTCTCTCCTCGGGACTCTTTATGGAGCTCATCAGGCCAAACTCCTCTAAGGATATTTGTAAGACCCGCTCTTTTCTTTCTTTCTTGGCCTCATTTTGAGCGGTGGATTATTCTTGTACGATTATCCTCAACTTGTTTCTACATTCATTCATAAAATCAATCCCTGTATATTTCTGTAAATCCCCAAAAATAAAATCCACATGATCAAGGTTAGAATAAGAAAATGAAGAAGAAAGGTCATGTGAATATTCATGTGGTATGTCCAAGACCAATGCTCCTTCATTCTCTTCTACTAAAAATAGTAAATATGGATATGTGGATGGGGATTTGAACTCTTCTTTTATTGCTTCGTAATCCACCAAAGACTCATTTTCAATCATCTCAATTGAAAGAGTCCTCTTGTAGAGTGGAAAACTCTCTCTGTAGATGTTCATCATCTCAGGTAGGCTCATTCTCACAGGGTATCTCCTCCATATATTCACCATCACAATGTAATGAGCTTTCTGAAAGTGTACTTATTATTTGACTCACTTGCATTGTTAAGTTGTTAATGGCTTCATCTTGTGTAAATCTCTCTTCCACCTTATTTATGAACTTATACATAAGCTCTTCTAAACTACCATTCTCCCCTTGAGGTGGTTGTCTCATTTCGCTTTCATTCCAGTCATAATAAGGGTATTCATCCCAACCAGAGTCAGAATTATGCCCATATGAATCCTCATACCTGTACGGACTAGAAACAGAGTGAGAGTTTTCAAAATATGAACCATAGGAAGAATACCTACCTACTTGACAATCAACCCATAGATGATTTCCACCGCATTTAAAATACATAGAAGACCGCTGACAATGTTCAACTGCTAACTCTTCAGCCGTTTTCTTAGGCTAGTTGTGCTCCATCTTTACAACATTTAGAGTTCAGTATCAAGAATATGCTCTTCAAGATTTCTTCAACAAAAGAAATCTTGAAGAGAAGTTAACATAACAAAACTAAAAATAATAAAAATAAAAATTAAAATCTAGTTCCTGAATTAGCACCACAAACTATTTCAAACATTATTGATTGCCAATCTCCGGTAATGACGCCAAAATTTGACGAGCACAAAACACACACTTAAATATGCTCGCTAGTCGAATATAGTATAATATAATATCATATCCACAGGGATTGGAGTTAAATAATATTATCATAGTTTGTAGTTAGATTGCTATCCAAGATGATCAACAATTTAGATTTATGTGGTTAATACTAAAATTAATTAAGAATCTAAAGCTAATTAACTAATGACAATAAAAAAAAAGACTAAGCAAAGGAAGATATTAGTGGGAGAAAAAGGGATTTTGATAGGATAGGTGCAAGATAATTGTTTGGGATTTAACTCTAGATAATTCACTTCTAATGTTCAAGTGAGTCTCTCGAATTCACTTAATTATCAGTACAATTATTTAGTAGAAACTCCTCTCTTGATTAAGTTTCAACCTCTCAATATGAACCAATTTAAGCTCTGTGAAGATATGCAAGAATGCATAATGAATTGGTCTTTAAGAGAACCTCTCTAGATTATCCTCTTAACTAGGTTTAATCAATGATTCAACTAGCCTATTTCGATTACTTAGAAGAATCTGTGAACTCAACCAACAATATAATGCAAAGATATCATAAGTTATCCCTCTTTTGATTACAAGAACAAGTGAATATAGATGCAAGAATTAAATCTTCCAAAAACAATTCAAATACATAAAAATAGAGTTATAATCCATAAACAATCATCAATACACCAAATCCATCAAAACCTAAAAGGATCTACTCCATAGACATGGAAAAGTTCTTCACAAATGTAACTAAAGTATAGGAAAACATAAATTCAATCCAAACCCGGATCTTGAGTGAGGAAGGAATGATGAAATCATTGTGCTTGTGTTTTTTCAACTCCTCCTTAGTCTCATTGGCCTCCTTAGGTTGAAATTGTATCAAAAGTCCATCTAAAATGGTGTTTTGGTGTATTTAAGCCGCCCCCAAAACAAACCCCGGACGAAACTACTCTTTTTTAGCGGAAATGGGAAGTCACTCTAACATTTTTGTGCTACCGTGCCGCCCCATACGACGCGCATGTAGGGAATTCCAGAACGTTCCAAAAAATCATTTCTAGCCACTTTTTGCTCTGCCGCGCCATGCCCCGCGCTGCCCCATGCGGCGCGGTAGTGTAAATTTGGCCATAAATTGAGTTTTTTTCACTTTGCAGGAAAATTGCACTAGCGCTATGAGGCCCGCGGAGCGGTAGTGCAATTTTCTCAGGGTGTATTTGTTTTCTCATTTTTTGATGTCCAGACTTGGTTTTCGAACCCCCGAACGTGATCCCTACTTAATTTTTTGGATTTTTACTCAGACTTCAAAGCTCCAACTTGTTCGATTTAGCTTCCGAATATCATTTTAACTTGAAATCAATTCCTACAAGGCAAAAAACACACAATAAGTGCAATACACTAACATTCAAGCTCAAACACAAGTAAATACAGTAATTTGAGTGCAATACTACGGCTAAAATATGAGATTCTAGTCTACTATCATAGAGCTAAGGGTGAGGAGGAGTGTGTCTATTTTCGAGAACCAGTTTGAGTTTATGTCGGGACGTTCGACTACAGAAGCCATCCACCTTGTTAGGAGATTGATGGAGCTGTATAGGGAGAGAAAGAAGGGCTTGCATATGGTGTTCATTGACTTAGAAAAGGCATACGATAAAATTCCGAGAGAGATTTTGTGGAGATGTTTGGAGGCTAGAGGTGTATATGTTGCCTACGTTAGGTTGATTAAGGACATGTATGATGGAGTAATGACCCTAGTGAGGACGGTGGGTAGGGACTCAGACCATTTTTAGGTTATGATGGGGTTGCATCAGGGGTCGGCACTCAGCCCTTTTTTGTTTGCTCTGGTGATGGATGTACTGACGCGCCACATCCAAGGGGAGGTGCCGTGGTGCATGCTATTTGCAGATGATATTATATTGATTGACGAGACGTGAAAAGGTGTGAACGCTCAATTAGAGGTATGGAAGCAGACCATGGAATCTAAAGGTTTTAAGTTGAGCAGGACCAAGACGGAATACTTGGAGTGTAAGTTCAGTGGCGAGACTCAAGGAAGGGAAAGAGAGGTGAGGCTGGACTCGCAGGTCATCCCTAGGAGAGGGAGTTTAAAGTACTTTGGGTCTATTATTCAGGGGGTGGGGAGATTGATGAAGATGTCACACATCGTATTGGGACGAGATGGATGAAATGGAGACTCGCTTTCGGTGTTTTATGTGACAAGAAGGTGCCACTGAAACTTAAGGGTAATTTCTACAGAGCGGTGGTTAGACCAACGATATTGTATAGGGATGAGTGTTGGCCAGTCAAGATCGCTCATGTCCAGAAGATGAAGATAGCAGATATGAGGATGCTGAGATGGATGTGCGGGCACACCAGGTTAGATAGGATCAGAAATGAGGTTATTCCCGACAAGGTGAGTGTGGCCCCTATTGAGGACAAGATGCGGGAAGCTTGGCTTAGGTGGTTTGATCATGTGAGGAGGAGGAGCATAAACGCCCCGGTGAGGAGGTGTGAGAGGTTGACATTGGAGGGCCTACAGGGAGGTAGAGGTAGGCCAAAGAAGAGGTGGGGAGGGATGATTAGGTAAGACATGGCTCAACTTCAGCTGACAGAGGACATGACCCTTGATAGGAATGTATGGAGGTCGATGATTAGGGTAGCAAAGTAGGCAGTCTAGAGTGTTCATAACAGTAGTATTGGCACGCAGTCGCGCTTTCTGTTGGTAGTAGATCTTTATGACTATCCGTTGTTTTCTTTCATTATTGATCACCTTACTATCTTGTTATTTTTATTCTGCTTTTATATGACTTTTTGGTACTGTCCCTTCTTGTCTATATTTTCATTAATGTGGTGCTTATGCTTTCCTGAGCCGAGGGTCTATTGGAAACAACCTCTATATCCTCACAAGGTAGGGATAAGGTCTGCGTACATACTACCCTCCCCACAGTGTGGGATAGTACTGGGTATGTTGTTGTTGTACTCAATTGTCAAAAAAAACTACACGAAAATACCCATTTGAAAAATACTACACTCTGTTCCCATTTAGGATAAAATATGTATGAAGTCCCCAACAAATATGTACTTTATATATTTTCGGGCTATATAATTTATATTTTGTATACATTTAGTGTGTACAATACAGTTTTGTATTGTATATAATTAATTAAGGTATATAAAATGTGAATTGTATATTTCGTAGGTATACAAAATATAATATTGTTACAGTGTAAAATTTTAAAAATTTAAAATTTTTGTATTGACAGGTAAATATATCAGGCCGCTTGAGTAATCATGAGAAACCCCAATTAATATTCTCTTAGTTTTTCTAGAAAAAAAGAGGTTGTTGGGACCTTGGATAAGATGGTGAATTTTGCGAAAGCTCGAATATCGCCGCCAATTCCTGATCAACCATGCTTCTTAAATTGATTTTATGGCACTTTACAATTTTTTTAATTTATTTTAAATTTTTCAACAACACTTAAAAGATCTGAAAATAAATCACAAGAGATTTTTAAAACACATGGTCATTTTCTTCATTTCAATATGGAAAGAATTATGTTGAATTATTTCTAATAACGACTTATATTTATTACTAATTATCAATTCGAGTTGCTTTTTCAGACATATATTAAATTTCTTTAGGACTTACAGTATATGTTTTTTGACAGGTAATCGATAGGTTTTTATCAGCGGTTCATCGATCATCTACTTCTTCAATGCAAATGTCATTTTTTATTAACTTTGATGCTGAGGATATGTTAAGACAAGCTACTATGTCAACTAATCGATACGAACAAGGTACGATCTGAAGAGGGCGGTAAATAAAATAGTGCTATTTATTAATTATTATTTTAGAGAAATATTTCTTAATTGGTTTAATATTGGCGGCATATGATTGTTCCCCAGGAGAAGCATTATCAGTTTTAGATGGAGTGCCAATTGCAATAAAAGATGAAATTGATTGTATGCCTTATCCCACTACAGGTGAGTAGGTAGTTGAAAATTAAAATGAGCAGTAAGTTAAGTTTTCAGGTAAGTTGTAGAGTATTATTAATACAGGAGGCACAAAGTGGATGCACAAGGTAAGAGGGTGCAAGGATGATGCAGAGTGTGTGAGGCGTTTGAGATCATGTGGTGCAATATTGGTGGGAAAAACAAACATGCATGAGCTTGGTGCTGGAACTAGTGGTATTAATCCTCATCATGGGTAAATAAAATATTACAACAACACTAGTTTTATACATTACTCCATTATTAATTAATCCTCATAATTAACTAGTACTGATTTTGATGCTTAATTTGTTTATAGAACTACTAGAAATCCTTATAATGTTGCAAGGATTGCCGGTGGTTCTTCTAGTGGTTCTGCTGCTGTTGTGGCTGCAGGTTTATGCCCTGCTGCCCTTGGTGTCGATGGAGGAGGTAATCTTATCATTCTCACAAAATGGTTTTGAGTTTTGAGTTGGATTGGGTTATTGACCCATTGTTCTGGATAAGTTTAGGATCTGTTAGAATGCCTGCTGCTCTTTGTGGAGTTGTTGGTTTTAAGCCAAGCTTTGGACGTATCTCACACTCAGGGTACCTTCTTCTCACAACCTTTCTTTATTACTACTATGTATTTACTATTTATTATTTAAAATTTAATGCACGCATGTGTCTTATTTTTCAGTATTCTTCCTCTGAATTGGACAGTTGGAATGGTAGGGATACTGGCTGCTACTGTTGAAGATGCACTTCTAGTGTTAGTATTATTGGCTTAAAAGTTAATTTTTAAGCCCAATTTTATTTTTAAATAATTTGCAAATTAAACCCACTTACAATCTCATAATTTCCAGTTATGCAGCTATCACTTCCCCCAAATCATCAGATCAATCTGAAACTGCTCAGGTAAGATTTATCTTCTCCTCTCATTACAATTTGACATTAGGAATATTTTAATATTAAGTAATTTTAAATCATGAGATTCATTAGAAGGATTTTGCGCTTGTGGTCATTTTTTAATTCTTCTTTTAAGTAAAATTATTATTTTTTGTTTCATGTGGTTTAATTTTTATATCAACCAACGCAACCCAATGTTAGATTATTTTTTTCCTTCTTTTCCTACAAAATTGAATTTAGTTTACTTTTAACCTTAAAAGTGGTTCAACATGAATCAATTTAGAAGGAATATAAGGGTATTTGGATACTTATATATTTAACTTCGCCAGCTTCTTCAGTCTCTTTATCCGCTAACTAAGAAGTTTATAAAAGAATTTTGTTATAAAGAAATCTTGACTGAACATATATTTTATATCTTGAGACTGGACGTCATGATGTGACTTTAATTAGAAAGTAATAGATGCATATTTACTCTATTATATTCTTTGTTTCGCCTACTAGTTGTATTAACTCTAAAGTGTATTCAACCTAGAATTTGATAAATAAATTAAGCAATTAAATTTATACGTTGGGCTACAAATAATAATATAATTAAATCAAAGAAATTAGATCCTTGTTGATAAAAAGCAATATAGTAATAATAATAATAATAACAATGATCATGAAGTAATTGAAATAACCAAATGAGCAAGAAATGAGAAAGATATATTCTTATTTCAGAAACTCCAATAAATAAAATCTGATGAGCAATGTTGATAATTGAGAGAGAGGTGCTTCAATATAATATCAGTCTGTCATGTTGAATCAGAATAGGTTATAATTGTGGGAAGAAGGATATATACAGTTAACCTTAATGCAACTGTTCTCCTAATATCTAGCCTAGATATTACACCCATTATTTGCAGTAAGCATGAATCTAGTCGGTTACATTTATCTACAGATCATGTGTATCTCAGAGTTCGGTGTTACAAAATGACTATCTACCTGGACGCTTGTGTCTACCCAGAACTCTTGTGCTGGCCGTATTTTACCAATATAGATAGTTCCTCACTTTTTCGGTAGTTTTGGAAAAGTATCCTAAAAATGAAATGATTTAAGCGAAAATCACAAGTAACCGCCATTACACTTTTGAATCTGAAACGACGTGAATCCTTTTCATTTAATGCTTCTAACACATGATAAATTCTGATAGAAGGTTAAATTATAGTCAATTATCAAGATAATGATGACTGTTATGCCTATAAATAATATTCCTTTCCTTCGACATCTCCTACTGTTGCCTGATTCTTCCCCAAGCTCTTTGCCCTCCTCCTCCTCTTCTTCTTCTTCTTTTTTGCAATTTCCAGACGTGGAATCTCAAAGCCACAATTCTCAAGAAAATCAGCCTCCTCCTCCCCCTCCTCCTCCTCCTCCTTCTTCTTCTTATTCTTCTTCTTCTTCTTCTTCTTCTTCTCCTTCTTCTTCTTCTTCTTCTTCATTTCTGCAATTTCCAGACATGGAATCTCAAAGCCACAATTCTCAAGAAAATGAGCCTTCTATTTCTATCGGTCTCAATGTTGCTGAGAGGTTTTCCTTAGCGGTCGTCTTTGAAAAAATAGAAAAAATATTGGATACTTCGCCATTGACAAAGAGGAGCAAAGTAAACAAAGCGACTGTCGGCGAATCTTCCTCTAAGAATAGGGGATCCGACTTAAATCCCGATTAGAAAAATATGATATCTTATATTATCCTAAGATATTGGACTTAAGATGGATTTTCAGGTCTAGGACAAGACCAAGAAGCAATACGGTACTGGGAACAAACCGATAGGTGAATTTATTTTGGTGATTATACGTGACCATCTTTCTACCGTCCGGTATGATTGCAAATGGGATGATGATAGTATTAAGTTTCATTGTATTCGAACAAATGAACTAATTACTAGCTATCGACCTGGGCACTCCTTTGTATACACTTACTAAAACAAAGTCACCATCTATCATCGGATTCAAGCTTCCGTTAGACAAAGTTATTGAGAAAAAGTGCAGGCAATATTTCATTTGCTTGGCTCAAGTCGATCCTCGATTATGGAGGTTGGTTGCTTGTCTTCGTCACCTTGCTTCTAAATCTAAATAGACTTCACTTTTCAACATCTTCTCCATCTTTATTCTTCCAAGCTTTACCGAGGGGGCATGTCTACTATGACCTCTAAGGGAAAAATATCTCGTTTTCTGACTGTGATGACGATTACACTTAGAAGTGGTACGAAAGGTTTGTTATAATGCCAACCCGGTATCTAGTTCGTTCAGAGAAATGCCTTTCCCTGAAAGGTGGAATACATCAACCATAAGTTTCTCTTTTCTCACCTATCTTCTTCATTTATTATATTTCTACTTAACTAGTATTTTGTGAATTACAGCTACCATGGTAGAGTTAGGTGGGGTTAATGGTATCAAAAGGCGAATTTCCAAGATCTTGGACATTTCTTCTACGGTTTCATGGGGATTGAAGGTCATTGCTTCTGAGATTAGTCTAAGGACCAAAAATCAGGCCTGGAAGGAGACAAACGACAATCCCGGCCCTGAGTTGGTCTACCTGTTTACAGAGAAGCCCCATAGAGAATTCGGGAATTACTTTTCTGACAATAGAGTGCCGACGAATCCGGTGTTTTCCCTGTCAAGCTTCCTTCAAAAAGAAAAAAGGTTACAAAGCATAAGGGTTGACAATCCGAGCTTGAGATGAGTAGTTCTCAAGTTAGTCCCCCGGCTGTTCATTGTCGCCTCAGGGAGGAAGAAGAAGGGGGCAATGGTGTTGTTGTGGTTGGATCTGGAAAAGAAGTTCAACCCATTTATATTTCGAAACAACTTCCAATTCCTGGCCTGCCATACATGGTATATCATCGCTCCCTAGACTGCCATGATCACCTCCTTTGTTGTTTGTCTCCAGTGCTTCCTCTTGATCCATCTTATTGTTTGTCTCGCCCCATATCTCTGAAATTGTATTCCAAGCATATGAACAGCTCTTCCCTTAATTCAGTAACCCATGTATACTCAGCAAATATATGTTTTTTAGTTTCAGTCAGCCCATCCCCTCATAAGCAGCATGCATCATCACTTATTGGTACTTGTAATCTCTTGAGCCTTTCCTTGGTCAGCAGCCTCTCCTGATTTGCTAGCCATACTATGAATCTATGCTTTGGTTGCATGAGCCTATTCCATGCTTCTGGCAGCTTCACCATGTCTCCTAGTAAAACATTGTAGCTCATAGTTACAGAATAGTTTCCATTTACTGTCAACATGTACCTATCATCCTTATACCAATCCTTCATTCCCAACTTGAGTGAGTTGAGCTTCTTCCAGTACCAACTGCAGTCAAGAGGTGATTTGTGATCCCATATACTCACATCATTCTTCATATATAACCCATGCACCCATCTCACCCAAAGCATATCCTGTTTCATTGCTAGTTGCTATAGCAATTTCCCCACTGATGCCATATTTCACTTCCTACAGCTCTTTATATTCAGCCCTCCAAATCGCTTTGGAACACATACTTTGTCCCATGCTATCAGAGGCACCCTCTTATGCTCAGTAGAGCTACCCCACAGATAGTCCCTACATTTTCTATCCACTTCCTTTAGCACACTTTGAGGCAATATAAAGATAGCTCCCCAGAAATTATAGATTGAGAATAAAACAACATTGATAATCTGTAATCTACCTGCATAGGACAATTGCTTTGAGTAAGCAATATTAATTCTATTAGTTATCTTCTCCACTAGTTGGTGACAATCCATCTTACTCCATTTTTAGATGACAAAGGCAAACCAAGATATCTAATAGGTAGAGTTCCTATTGAAAATCCTGTGTATGTCAATATCTCTTCCTTCCTTTCATCTTCCATTCCTGCCAGGAAGATGTTTGTTTTGTCTGCATTTGCCTCTAAACCTGTCACACTACTGAAGTAGTGCAAAGCCTCTATTACCCCCTTAGAATTGATTGTATATCTCCTTTGCAAAAGATTATTAGATCATCTGCAAATATTAAATGTGTCAGCTTTAAATTCTTGCACATTGGATGAAATTTGAAATCTGGGAGCTCACTCATCCTTTTCAAAGTTCTAGTGAGATATTCCATAACAAGTACAAAGAGCAATGGTGAGATTGGGTCTCCCTGTTTCAGCCCTCTCTTTCCTTCAAAGTATCCATACCCCACTCCATTTACTTTTACTGAGAATTTTGTTGATGTGATACACACCATGATCAACTCGATAAATGAAATAAGATAACCATATCCAATCAGAGCTTCCTCAATGAAGTCCCAACTAACTGTATCATATGCTTTCCTCAAGTCAATCTTCATCAAACACCTTGGTGAAGTCCTCCTATTATAATGTCTCATTAGATCATGACAGATTAGAATGTTGTAAGCTAGTGCTCTCCTTTCAACAAAAGCTGCTTGATTTTCTACAACCAGTGAGGTTAGTGTCTTGTTCAATCTTTGACATATTACCTTAGAATGCATTTGTATAATACATTGCAGCAAGATATTGGTCTATATTGGCTTGCCATTTGTGGCACCTCTACTTTTGGAATCAAGGAGATCATGGTTGCATTGAGATGCTTCAAAAGCTTCCCATTGCTCAGAAATTCCAGTACAACTTCAGTCACATCCTCTCCCACAATTGACCATGCTTTCTTGAAAAAATCAATACTGTATCCATCAGGCCCTGGGCTTTTTGTAATATTAATGCTAAACAAAGCCTCTTTGACATCCTTTTTATTGTATTGTCTCACCAATTGCACATGTTCTTCCACTGTCAATATGTGACCATTCTTCAAAAAACTCCCAAAAGCTTTAACCCTTCCCTGCTCTTTCCTCCCCAGCAATTCCTGATAGTAGTCCACAAAGACCATAGCTATCTTCTCCGGATCATGCTGATTCCATGTTTGTCTTGTATTTGAGTGACTGCTTGTTGGAGCTTCCTGTGTTTGATGATAGAGTAAAAATACCTGTTGGTATCATCTCCTAATTTGATCCATGTAGCCTTACTTATTTGCTGAAGAAACATCTCAACTTGGT